GCATAGCACATCTTGTGGCCCAGGAGAGATGCTGTCTTTGTCACTTTTGGTTCTACCAGGAAAGCTGCTGTTATAATAAAAGGGGTTCCAAAGACATTCTGCCTCACACCAAAGACGAGGGTTGGGAATTCTGGTCTTAATATACCTGGGAAATCCCTCCTTGACACTGCCAGGGAGTGTGTTAGACAAAGGCTAATTCCTCTAAACAGCATCTTCCAAGGTGCTTCTGAAGAACTGGACTCCACAGGGTGTTAATAGGTATCATGTGAGCAAAAAGCTTGGGTCAAAATGTTGGGTGAATGATGAGCTGAGCCAACGTTTTTACTGCAGAACTTCCACTCTGTGACTTTCCAGGAAGCAGATAAATTATGCTGTGCATCCAAACTTTTTAGACTGTGGAGTTCTTCCTTCTCAAAGCACTGCCCCCCCAAAGCATACAACCTTTTTGTGCCATGCAGCCCCTTGGCAGGTTGGGGAAGCCTGAGGATCGCTTCTCAGAGTAACATTTTCGTTTTATTTTATTTTAGACAGGATCTTTCTCTGTCACCCAGGCTGGAGTGCCGTGGTGAGATCATGGCTCACTGCAGCCTCAAACTTCCAGGCTCAAACCATCCTCCTGCCTTAGCCTCCTATGTAGCTGGGACCACAGGCATGGGCCACTGCACCTGAGTGATCTTTTTGATTTTTCGTAAAGACAGGATCTCACTGTGATACTCAGGCTGGTCTGGAACTCCTGAGCTCAAGCAATTTTTCTACCTTAGCCTTCCAAAGTGCTGGGATTACAGGGGTGAGCTACTATGCCCAGCCAGAATAACGTTTTTAAAACAACAAAAAACCCCAAAAAACCCAAAAAGCAAAAAAAATCACATAAGTTTACAAAGAAAACCAATTCTATTGAAATAGAATATTAAAGAATATTTTGAGATATTAAAAAATGAACATGTACAAATATATGTGCTTCTTTTGAATGTGTTAAATTGAAGCAGGAGTGGCCGCAAGAAACAGACCCCTCGGACACTGAACTAGAAAGGAAAGGGTTTTATAATTACGGCCCTGGGAGAAAGGCTTATGTTTTGTCCAAACGGCCAAGCTCCCCTAACAAAGAGAAGCTCTGCCTTTATATAGGCTTACGCTCTAGATATTGCACTTGAAAGGATCTTAGGTTTACAGCCTTAGAAATTACAAGTGAAAGGGTCTTGGGTTTACAGCTTTAGAAATCACATATGAAAAGGTCTTGGGGTTACAGCTTTAGAAATCACATATGAAAAGGTCTTGGGGTTACAGTTTTAGGGATTACATGTGAAAGGGTTCTGGTCTCTGGATGGAGGAGTGGGGTGGGGGTTTGATCTTGTTTAAGTAAAAACAATGTCTTCCAGAGAGATTCCCCCATACCACGCCTGCTATCTTATAGGAAGGTGATTCAGTAGGCGCCGCCAGTTGGCCAGCCTTTTCTTCTATTGAAATGCAGTGTGGAGGTCAAGGGGGAGGTGATCCCAGATGCCTGGGTCTCCTTCGTCAAAATAACAAGATCCAGAGTTGGTTCTAATAACTACAGTTGTTTTGAAATATTGATGACTGTAAATGATATTTCTAGATGTAGCTGATCCTCATTGTTTGCTGATAACATATTTGTGAATTTGCCTCCTTGCTAAAATGTATTTGTAACCTGAATGTATATTCATGGCACCTTTGCAGTCCTCAGTGCCCACGCACAGAACAATGATAAATTTGAGTTGCCCACCTGCCACATTCCCCAGCTGAGATTGGTTGGCAAGGTGGTTTGGACTTCCTTTTTTTTTGGTTTGAAACCAAGTTCTAATCTCGTTGCCCAGGCTGGAGTGCAATGGCTCAATCTCAGCTCACTGCAACCTCTGCCTCCCAGGTTCCAGCGATTCTCCTGCCTCAGCCTCCAGAGTAACTGAGGTTATAGGCACATACCATCACACACGACTAGTATTTTGTATTTTTAGTAGAGACGGTGTTTTCCTATGTTGGCCAGGCTGGTCTTGAACTCCTGATCTCAGGTGATCCACTCTCCTCGACCTCCCATAGTGTTAGGATTACAGGCATGAGCCACTGTACCCAGCCAAGTTTTGCCTTCTTGTTTCAGCTCTAATGCTGCAAACCTGTGTCCTCTTCACAGTATATTTAGTGCCACATTTTTGGCATTTTGTGCTTTTTCCTGGTGATGTTGCTGTTGAAAATGGCCATGAAGGGCAGTGCTGAAGTGCTGTCTAGTGCTGCTAAGAGCTGTGTCACAGAAGGCTGCGATGCACCTCGTGGAGAAAATCACCCCAGTGGTAGATGAGCTCTTTACAGAGCTGTTGCCTGTGAGGTCAATGTTAATGAATCCACTGTATATCAAATAAGGTGTCTTTTCAACAAAAACCCACAAGTTATGTATTGATTGGTTGGTGAAAACATTGAGACTGCAGGCTCACAGGAACCTCGCCTTGTACTTCCCCCAAGGACAATGGTTCAGTATGTGCTAATTCAGTGTTCACGGCAGCTTTATAGAACATAACTGCGACGAAAAATAAGAATCAACAGTATCTGCAACAACTGCAATGTGATGTGAAAATATTTGTGACAAAGACTAATTCAGCTGCATTTTGTTAGCTACATTCATTATGAAGTGATATTGTTAATTTTAGCATTAGCATTTAGAAGACAGTGAAGACTTACGTTTTTTCCATTCAAGTTTACAGGCACTCTTAATTCTGGGGATCCCTAAGGACCCTAGTTAAGAATATTTTCTCTAGTGAAATTAAATCAGTGACAGGGAGCAGGAACGGATAGGGAAACTGGTACGGATTTCGGGGAGATTAAGGTCCAGTTACACTGTGTATCAGTAAAAGGCCCATGTAGAGATTTTTATCTGATCTGCTTTTTCTGGGGGACTGACTTTTTTTTTTTCCACCAGGGCCTAAACCCAAAAAGGCTCAGCATGAAATGAAAAAATGCCAACATTGGGTGGAAACAGAAATTTTGGTAATTATTCATGTGGCAAATGGTGAGCTCCACTTCAATAGTGAAGGGCAAGCCAAGTCTCTCCTCTGATAACAGGAGAGAGTTTTTTTTTTTTTTTTTTTTCTGAGACAGGGTCTCGTTCTGTCTCCCAGGCTGGAGAGTGGTGCGATCTGGGCTCACTGCAGTCCTGACCTCCTGCTGGGCTCAAGTGATCTTCCCAAGTAGCTGGGACCACAGGCGTGTGCCACCACGCCCAGCTAGTTTTTATATTTTTTGCAGAGACAGGGTATCACCATGTTGTCCAGTCTGATCTCGAACTCCTGAGCTCAAGCAACCCACCCACCTTGGTCTCCCAAAGTGCTGGGATTATAGGTGTGAGCCACAGTGCTCGGCTGGGGGAGAGAAATTATAACAGAGTTTTGAGGTGTCTAGATGAAGATCACACAGGAGCCCCAAGGCCCCTCACCAAGTGCGCCCAAAGAGAAAGGTGCCTCTGATGGCTTTTCTTTCTTACTCTTCTCACCATGAGGAGCGAGGAGCATGATTCAATGGGTCTAATTCAAATGTGTCAAAAAAGAGGCTGCTAAATTTGCTTTTAAATAGTAAGAAATAACAGTGTGACCTGGAGGGCAACACTAACTTCTCATTCATTTATTCATTCAGTGCTATTTCTTGTGCATCTGCAGTGGCCAGGCATTGTGTTGGGGGGATGGATACAGGAGTACACGTGAACGGCCAGGTACCGATCTCATGGAGCCTCAGTTTGGGTTCCGATGTTTCTCTCCATAGCCCCTCCAGGAATGGGGAGATGGGGAGGGCTACATGCCACCCTAGGAAAGCCCTTCAGGTGCCTCTCAGCGGACAACACTCATATACCATCATTCCGGAAAACTCGAGGCCGAAGACAGTAGTTCAAGGGGCACCAGTGCAGAAATAAGGGATAGACACTCTTGTAAGTATGCAAAGCACAGGGACAGGGCATTCTCAAGCCAGAGAGAAAGACGGTCAAATCTCAAAGAAGGAATGTGTCTGGAGCATAGAATATGCAGGCAGAAGTGAACGGACCTTGCTCAGGTTCCTGATCCAGGGGAGAAGGCCTGACCTCAGACTCCAGTTTTGCAGACAATGGTGCTATTTAGTATTGATTTCTATGTAGTATCTATTTGCGGTATTTGTGTTTGCTGAAAAAGTGAGATGGGGTCACCGTCCTCTTCCATCCCTTGATTCCTTGGTGCTGTGCCTCAGGTAAGATCAGAGCTCAGGACCTGGGTACCTCTGTTTTCCTGCCTGAGCCCATCCAGAAGATGGAACTAGTCAGATGATTCCCCAAGGTTGTGGGTGGTCAGGCCTAAGAGAATTTACACAGTCTTTTTTAGAGGGGTGAGAGTGACAGGTTCAGAGAAGACATGTAGGGAGGGAGAAGGGAGGTGGTCAGGCCAGGGGACACTCCCTTTACTCTGGAGTCTTCACATATTAAATAAGTATACTTGGGGTATCTATCACCTTAAATATTTGTCTTTTCTTTATGCTAGAAACATTGAAATTATTTTCTTCTGGCGATTTAAAATGAATGGTACAAGAGCATTTTGTAAACTATAGTCATCCTACTGACCCGTCAGACACTGGGTCTTTTTTCTTTTATCTAACTGTACATTTATACCCACTAATCAACTCATAAAACATTTGAAAGGAAAAAAATTGTATTGTCATTTTTATGAACTTTGCAAGGTTATGGTACTAGTCAACTTTTAAACATTCATAATTTGTTGTGATTTCTTTCCTCATTCTAAATGTGCATTCGAGTTCATATCTAACTTTGTATTTGTAGTTTGGTGTTATTTTTTTCAAGGGGGCCTCATGAAACCTGCTCTGCCCCTTGTGTGAGTCCTTGGCAGCTGGCCAGATGCCTGCATAGGAGGAGCCTCAGCTCGTCAGGCCATTTTTAAGACGTCAGCAACACAGGGAGGATCAGTCCCTGTTTTGCCAAGACCCTGGGCGAATTGCTGAACATTGTTGGACTTCTTAAGTGTTTTTAGAAGCTCCTTTTAGAACAATTAGCTCTAAAGGGCACAGATACTCTCTTGCTTGGAATGGCACCCAAAGAACTTTATTAAAGGTTATTTCAGGAACAACAGGAGGGTTACTGATCCCAGAAGCACACAGCATTGCACCATCATCCAGATATGCTCTTCATTGAGAGAAAGGCATTTTGCAAAGATGCTGCTGAAGGAGAGTCCTTTGGGCCTGTAATGTAGCAGCCCCCATAGGGTTTGTGGAATGCGTTTACCAAAGCCTCTGCCTCCATGTGCTCCCCAGGGGTGTGTGCTCCTGAGATGCTCAGTGCCCCCCTTGGTCTCCAAACACCTCTTTAATCTGAGGGTTGAATGGATTCTCCTTTCCCAGGACTTGGGGCCACTGAAGCTGCACCTTCTCCCATAAGCGATCTGCCAACATCAGCAAAGCCACCTGTGAGAGAGAACCCAAAGGAAGAGGAAAAGGGAAATTAGGATAAATCACTTACCAACAAGATTTCCTACACGCTGTCTGCTAGAGACAGCCTCTAGGGTGTCACCCTGACTCCTGCGCCCACTTCTCTGTATAATCTCCTGGCGGTGGGATGTAGGAGTTCAGTCAGGGTCGTGGGGAAAAAAATGGACACAAACCTTTCTGAAGGCTGGAGGGTCTTGCAAAAGCCTCGGAATAGGATTTGGCTGAAGGCAGCCAGATTCTCTTATCCAGTGCCTGAAAGCTGAAGTTAGATAACTAGGGGATGTAAAGAAAGTGACCTAGATAAGTTAGTTTACTTAGGCCTCTGAACCTGGCCTTTAATCATCTGTAAGACTGCTCTCTCGGGAAGGGTGACCATGTTAATTATCCACAAGTGTGTTGACTCAAAGCCTTTGTCATTAAATCTATACTGAATAAATGCCTGCAGCGCCAGCTTGCGAGGGCCGCGGCTGCTAACTCTTTACAGCACCCTCCTCAGTGTCTGGGAGTGGCCTGGACCCCTAGCCCACTCTTTCACCAGATATCTATGTCTGATTGCATTAGTTCATCTGTCACTGGGTTGGGGTCTGCAGGTCAGACCCGACAGCAGGACCCATCACTTGGTTCTAACAGAGGAAGTGAGGCCGTGGTGAGGAGATGCCACCTCAGTGATAGTGTCACATTGTGTGAGGCTTGACCTTGCTAGTAACTTGCTTTGGAGGTTCTCCTTTCTGGGCTGGAGCTGACGGTGACCCAGCTGCCATCCAGCCTGAAGCTGGTTCCTCAGTCCTGCAACCTCACAGCAATGAATCTGCCAACAGCCTGAGTGAGTTTGAAGGCAGTTCTTCTCCAGACAGGTCTCCAGATGAGAACGTGGCCTGGATGCCATATCTTGATTTTCATTTGTGAGACCCTAAGCGAGGACCCAGTTAAACTGTGACCCACAGAAGCTGTGAGATCATAAGTGTGTATTGTGTTAAGCTGCAAAGTTTGTGGAATTTGTTTTTTCAGTAATAGATTACAAATTCACTTTTTCAGAAATCTACTTACTCATTTACCTGTGGACAGCTGGTATTTACTGCAGGCCTGAGGCTTGGGTTTTAGAGATGAGCATGGTGTGTTTTTCCTTTAAGAAAGTCCTGGTAAGGTAACCAGACATGCAAAATGACACCACCAAGCCCACAGGGAGGGCTGGGAGGAGAATGCACAAACCAGAAAGGGAAGAGGTGCCACTTCCGTTGGCTGGGAGAAGGGATGGGATTTCTCTGAAGAAGGTGGTAGCTGAGACGAATTTCCTAGGAGTTGCCCAGATATATGATGTAGGGAAACAGTGCAATGGTAGAGGACACAGTGTGTGCAAAGGCTCAGAGCTGTGGGAGAGAATGGCATGGTTGGGGAACTACAGGTGCTGGGAGTGGAGGCTGGCTGCGTACCTGACTGGGGGTGTATCTTGGCAGGCTGTGAGTGCATGGAGTCCAGCCACAGCACCAGAGGGGAATTTGCTTAATGCACAGCAGGCTCGACTCTGGCTCTTCCAGCCTGAGGCTTGGACTCTAGCTCTCCTAGCCTAAGGCTTGCTGTCTGGTTCTGTCATTGCATGTCAGGTTTCCCTTTATCCATGACGTTAGCTGGGTCCCTTCTTGGTTGTCCAGTGTCTGGCTTGTCATTAACATGCCTTTGAAGAGGACACTTTTTCTCTGCAGACAATGCCCTCATTTAGCAAATAGGAGCTGGTCAGGCCTGCAGGCTCCAGATGGCTCCAACTCAACAGTGGTTTTCAGTGCTGAGCCGTAAGAGAAATGTGATTGCTGCAGGCCTCCCAGAGGGAAGACATTGCTCAGGAGGGATGCTCCACAGGGCAGCTCGCAGTCCCCTTCCTAATAGGCAGCGTGGCCAACTCGGGTCTGGACCCAGCCCTCTCATCTGCACATTGCGTGGGTGACAGTACGTGATCCAAAGTCCTTTCTGTGTCCAACTGTGTGTGAGATTTTAGTAGTTAGAAAAAACTAGGACTGATCGAGTCACTGCATCAGGTCCCTGGCATTTTAATGTGTTCTGAGCCTTCTGAGGTGGATGCAAACTTCCACTCGTCCTGCTGTGTAATCTCGGTCATATCCATGCAGTGTCTCTCCCACGGCATAATGCACACATACACCACACCCCTCACAACCCCACACCACACATACATACATCACACGCACCCCACCAACACCACATACAAACACCACACACACACCACACACTACACTTACATATATTACATACACCCCCACACACCACACACAAACACCACACACACCCCACACACACATACACCACACCCCTCACAACCCCACACCACACATACATACATCACACGCACCCCACCAACACCACATACAAACACCACACACACACCACACACTACACTTACATATATTACATACACCCCCACACACCACACACAAACACCACACACACCCCACACACACATACACCACACCCCTCACAACCTCACACCATACATACATACATCACACACACCCCACAAACACCACAGACAAACACTACCCATACCACACACCAACCCCTTATAACCCCACACCACAAACGTATACATCACAAACAACCCCCACACCACACACAGAAACATCACAAACACCACGTCCCTCAAAACCCCACATCACACATACATCACACATAACCTCCACATATCACGCACAGAAACACCACACACACCACAGAGACACTATACACCCCACACAGACACCGCACCCCTTACAACCCCACACCACACACACATCACACACACCCCACACATCACACACAGAAACACCACACATACCACACACACCTCACAACCCCACACCACACATACATATATCATACACACACCCCACACATACATATATCATACACACACCCCACACACACCACACACAGAAACACCACACAGACACCACATCACACACACATATACACCACACCCCTCACAACCCCACACCACACACACCCCCCGCACAGAAAGAACACACTACACACCACACATCACGCACCACACACATCACACATAGAAACACTACACACGCATACATCATACACCTCCATCCCCCACCACACCACACACACTACACACAGAAACACCACACCATACACAGAAACACCCCACATACCACACACACATACACACGCACCACACACACAACCCCACACCACACACATCGCACACATCCCAACACACACACTCCACACCCCACACACATACATCTCTCTCACATACACACACACACATCCCACACACACCCCCCATGCACCTCACACAGATACCACCACATGCACACTCACCACGTACACATATCACATACACACACAGCCCTCACTACACACATACACCACACATATACTACTCACACCACACACACCATACATATACAACACACCCCCACACCACACAGATGTACCCCACCGCCCCAATACACGTATACCATATATACACATACACCACATACACCACCAACACACACACCCCTACACCCCCCACATCTCTCACACACACACACCACACAGACACATACAAACACCATACATACCTCACCCCCCCACACCAGCCACAGAAAGCACACCGATACCAAACACACAGAAAAACCACACACCATACACACCCCATATATACTTCTTTGCACTTAAAGCAGGAGCACGTCAAAGGCTGCCTGCAAAGCTGGCCAGTGCTCCAGGGAGGGCCGGATCATCTCTCACACAAAGCAGTCAGGACCTTTGAAGACAGAAGCCTGGGCTTGTGGCTGTTTTCCTGCCAATTCTCAACAAAGGAAACTGCTGCCAGGTCTGTGGAAAATTACCGTTTCTTCTGTTTTGTGTTATTGGCTTTCAACATGATACACCTAAGCTGTCTTTCTAACAGTTATGTGGTACAAGGCTTTTATTTCCCTATGTGTGTTAATAAGGGAGGAGACAGGGTGAGGGCAAGAAGAGGAAAATGAAAATGAAATAGCTCAGATCTGAGCATTTGGTAACTGCTTTGTTTGAAAGCAATTAGTTGACTGTCACTCTAATAGGGAATAAAATATTTATGAGCAGGCATTGAGAAAATATTGGGTCTGAAATGACACTGGCATGCTTATCACTAAACTAGAGACGTGATAAAATGATCCACTGTAATCATTCATTCATTTGACAAATATTTACTGAGCATCTGCTGTGGGTTTCTTATACCACAGTCTTCTGTTATAACTTCCACAGGGCACTGCACAGGGCAGGGCACAGCTACCCTTTCCTCTCTTTACCCAAGTCATTTTCTTTTTTGTGTGTGTGACAGGATTTTTCTCTGTCACCCAGGCTGGAGTGCAGTGGCCAGATCTTGGCTCACTGGAACCTCCGCCTCCCAGGTTCAAGCAAGTCTCTTGCCTCAGCCTCCTGAGCTGATATTCTTTTGTGCTTCTCCACTCATAGTCTAAAATATTAAAGCAAAACCTGTTCATTCTAGAAAAACTGAAGCCCACTTAAGCACAAAGAGAAAAACAGAATAAAAGTCATCTGTAATTAAAATAGAAGTAGCCTCTGTTAACATGGGGTGTAGAACCTTTGTGATTTTATGTATGTGTGTGTATATATATATATGTATATATATATGTGTATATATGTGATTTTATGTGTGTGTGTGTGTGTATATATATACACACATATATATATACACACATATATATGGGTGAGAAAGGGAGACTCCATCTCAAAAATAAAAATTAAAAAAATATATATATATACATACATATATATGTGTGTGTGTGTGTGTGTGTGTATATATACACCCATATATATACATATATATGTATATGTGTGTGTGTATATATATATACACATATATATACGCATATATATACACATATATATATGCATATATATGTATATATACATACATATATATACATATATATGCATATATATATGTGTATATATATGCGTATATATATGTGTATATATATATACACACACACACACACACATATATGTATGTATATATATATTTTTTTAATTTTTATTTTTGAGATGGAATCTCCCTTTGTCACCCAGGCTGGAGTATAGTGGCATGATCTCAACTCACTATAACCTCCACTTCCCGGGTTCAAGCGATTCTCCCACCTCAGCCTCCCAAGTAGCTGGAATTATAGGAACCCACTATTACATCCAGCTAATTTTTGTATTTTTAGTAGAGACAGGGTTTCACCATGTCGGCCAGGCTAGTCTCAAACTCCTAACCTCAGGCGATCTGCCCACCTCGGCCTCCCAAAGTGCTACGATTACAGGCATGAGCCACTGCACCTGGCCCTGATTTTATATCTGAAAACACACACACACACACACACACACACACACACACACACACACCATTCCTCTTGAATGTCATTTTATACTCTGCTCTTATTGAAGTCAAATTTAGAAACAGTAAAATGAACTCTCTTTAGTAAACAGTGCTATGAATTTGACAAATGCATACAGTTGAGTCATTGCTCCTATAATCTGTAGTCTGATTGTATTTACTTTGCTGTACATTATAAACACATTTCTATGTCACTAAAGGTAGATCTTTTTTTTTTTTTTTTTGAGACAAAGTCTCACTTTGCCACTCAAGCTAGAGTGCAATGGCACAATCTCAGCTCACTGCAACATACACCTTCCAGTGCAAGCGATTCTCCCACCTTGAGCCTCCAGAGTAGCTGGGACCACAGGTGTGTGCCACCATGCCCAACTAATTTTTGTATTTTTAGTAGAGATGGTGTTATTCAGTGCATAGTATGCTACCACATAGATGCAAGTTAATTCATTTTATCAGTAGAAACTTTTATCACATACTCCACCCCAGCATTTGTCCTCAGGATGAGAGGATGGAGACACCCTTCTTCTGCCAGTTCACACAACATTGGCAGCTCAGGAGGAGGTCATTGGCTGCCCTACTAAGCATGTGTGTGGAATAAATCTATTCCAGAAGAATGCTAGGGAGTGGGTGCTCTGATTAAGTGGGATCTTCTGGTTCATAGAAATTCTTTTCCAGGTATTTTCCTTTGTAGTTGAACATCTTTCAAGCCCACTTTCTTGCTAAGTTGCATATAAACACATCCAATTCATAACCTGGTAAAGCCAGAAGTGGTTTCTGAGTACATCAGTTTAGTTTCTTGTAATACAGCATGACGCTTTCTTCAACCACCTGATGATCTGGAATCATGCTGGCCATCCTTACATCAGTCTGTGACCACTGAGGAGAATGTGGGAGGAGAGTAGGCACAATCTGTACTGACTCCAGGAGGCACTTGACTTTGATTCCCTGAATAAAATCTCTGATACGAACTTGCCTCGCTATCCTGTGACTCTGTGTTTAGCCATTAAAAAAAAACTGTTTAAAATACAACTTTTCCTTCCATTTTTCTTTGTCCCTCTGGACTGGTTCCCTACGAAACCATCCTCCACGCTGCTGCAACAGGCATCTTTTTAGAACACAAGTTGGATCATTTTTTGCTTGAGAATGTCCAGTGGCGCCTCATCTCCCTCAGGACCAAGGTCAAGCCCCAGGCAGATCTTCCATGATCTAGTTCTCTAATATGCTGTAGATTCCCCCGCTCAACTCCAGGGTCATACTCTCTGGCTGCACTGAGCGCTTTTCTTTCCTCTGATAGGCCATGCTTTCTTTCATATTCAGGTCTTTGCCCATGCAGTTGCCTCTGCTCAAAACACTTTCTGTAACGCTTCTTCGCTTCCCTTCACTTGACTAGTTCATGGTCTTAGTTCTGACATCGCCTCCTCTGAAAACATTTCGAAAACCCCCCTCTCCCATCCCACCCCGTAATGCTCTGTGGTGTTCTGCACTTGCACAGTTGAAGGCATTTACTACTTTATAGTTAATTGTCTGTTTACTCATCATTTTCCTACTCTATACTATAATTTTAAGTGGCAAGGTATTTTCTTGTTCACTCTTGAATTCTCACTGCATTTGACACTGGGTAGTCACTCAATAAATATTTTTGGATGGCATGTAGCCAATCTTTTCAGCTCAGTATACATGCTAAACAGGCAGGCTTCAGGCCTAGCTGTTTATTCTTGCCCACTTTATCACTGGCTACCGGCATGTGAACAAATCTTGCAGGAATGGCATAAGATTATGGCACATATTGATTTTCAGTTTTGACTGCGTTTTCAACAACCAGATATAGGTGAAACTGAGTTCAAGATAGAGCCTCAATTTGACAGACCTTGAACCCCAAAGTCATTTTAAGAGTCAGAAACAGAATGGTTATTTGATAGATGGGATAAATATATCCTGAGAGATAAAACAAAGCTGTCTTTGACCCTCTTGTTTTTAGTTTGTTCCTGACACGCTACGTGAGCATCTTTTAATATGCCCATTCTCTACAGAATCAGAAGGGTAAGACGCTATTCTCTTCAGAGAATGACAAGAACTACCACCTCATAACTGCTAGAAAGGAGGGATAGACAATATATACAAACTCTTCTATAACCAAAGACATCAGTTCTGGGGGACAAGATCCTGATATTTAACCAGAATCTAGCCAATAATTTTCTTTGATTAACTCATCCAATTGATACACAGGAAGGTTAGCTATTCAGAGGTCATTACTCTGATTTTGTGTGTCTGTGTGTGTGTGTGTGTGTGTGTGTGTGTGGCTATTTAAATCTGCGAGGCGGGCATTTAACACTTACTTTAAAATTTGCTCAGCATTTGTGGGATACCACTTTAACTCATTTGTTGGGGAGTGGGCACCCTTCTATTCTTTTCCTTTTGGAGGTGATTCTTAGCCCTGCCCATGGGCACTGGCTGAACCTAGAGTTGGAGGAAGGTGGGCTGTGTTCACTTCATTCAGGCTCCTGAGGGGACAATCAGCCCTCTTGTGGCCCGGGTCTCAATGGCCAGCCAAGGAGCATCCTCCAGACATGCCCATCAGGTTTGTACCCTTTGGTAGCCACACGATGCTTCCCCAACAGCTCAAGCAGAAAGGCTCTGTAATGCGGGATTCCCTGAGAGTAAATGGCCCTTCCCTCCCCACGGAGGAGCAGCTTTCAACATTTTACAAGTGGCAGAGCAACTCCCCCACTTCTTTTTCTTCTTCTTCTTCTTAATAAAGAACTGTCATGAGTAAGTCCAGGACCATACAACAGATAAAAGTGGAACTTCCCTGGCTGAAGCCAGGATAATGGGATGGGAGTGGAGCCGGGAGGGGACAGAGTCCCGCCCTCTGGCTCCCCTTGCTTTGTGAAGAGACCAGAGGAGAGCTACCTGACAGAACTGTACTTTGGATCCTCAATGAGAAACAGCTCTTACTGCAGGATACTGCCAAGGACATCGTTCTCCTATACAGCACTCTTTCTAGAAAGATCTTTAGAATAAATTTCTTGTGGGTCTCACTTCTAAAAAATCCTTGTAATTTTCCTTCTTCTTTTTTTTTTTTTTGTTTTTGTTTTTTGGAGTCCTTGATTTATTTTTTTTATCTTATGGAAGCCGTGGCTTAATGCCCTTTTTAGCATTGCTGCTAGAAAGCACAGAGTTGATTCTGTAAGCCCCTTCTGGCAGTTTCTCAGGACTGCCCTGCACATATTTTATTAATTGTAGAAATTAAGTCAGGAATCCAGGTATAATTTCTACTTCATTTTCCTATTGTCCTGAATTTCACTTTGTTTTTATTAAATCTTCTATCTTACACGTGTGTACGTTACCTCAAGTCTTTTCTGGAACAAAACAGGATAAAAAATAAACACATGAATGTGTAAGGGCAATTAAAAACCAACAAACCAATAAACAGCCTTCTGCAACCACCGTGTAACTGCTCACCTCGTTGGGGTGGAATCCGTCCACGGGCTCGATGAGCTGCCAGGGCTGCCCGCCTCTCTTCTGCCACTCCTGTATGACTGCAGGGCACAGAACCAGAGGGTTACAGACACACTTGCACAAGCAACAGCCAACATCCAAGGGAAAGGATGTGAGAGCTGCCCAGGCCCTCACAGGCCCATGTTGACCCAGCCACGGCTACCCCTGAGCTGCTCTCTTGCACTGGGGGCTTTCTGAACAGAAAGGATCTTCCTATTGTGTGTGTGTGTGTGTGTGTGTGTGTGTGTGTGTGTGTGTGTGTGCCTTTTTCTAACTCAGGAAGAGAATACGTGAGAGTGTTAGATGAATGTGGTTTGTGTAGCAGGGAGGGCAGTGGGAAAAGGTAAGCTCTAAAATATTCAACACCGATTTCAGTACATGCCATTTTTCAGTGGTGCGGTAGGATGGTATTACAGGAGGGGAAAAGCCAACATTTTGTTAACATCCCCTTTCATGGGTTGCCATTTGCAGACTCTGCCTGCATGTGTCAAGCACTTGCCTTTCAAAATCATACAGTACATCAGGAATATAATTACATAAAATTATCTCATCGCCACATTTAGAGGGAATATGGCTGCAGAGAAAATATTATGAGCCCCAAAGTGATGAAAAGCAATAAAGCTGTCCTTCAACCGGGGTGAGAGACCAAGAATGTCAGTTGCTGCAAGGCAACAGCACGATTAACTCGACGTCATTCCATCATACAGTCAGTAAGAACTCCTCAAGGAAACTTCAGACCCCTAGGGAGCCTCCAGAGAGCAGCATCTGAGCTAGCTGCTCCCGGGAAAGTTACGCCCTCACTTCCCCAGCGTCCAGCGGTGGGGTCAGGCACAGCTAAGATTCCTCCTCTTCTTTACTCTTCATTCCCCAGAAAACTCAAGAACACAGGTCTGTGCCCTCTGAATCTCCCTCTCTTATCCCAAAGGAAGGATGGAGATTCTGTCGGGGGCTTTGATTGGACAAGAGGGGCTGGACTTCCCCAGGCTGAGTCAATACAAGGCTGCTTTTGCAATTAGTCCTAATATCCCAGTATGCCATCCCCACTTACTACCCAATCCCGGTTCCCTGGAGGTGGGTGGGGTGGGAGTGCTGAAGATAATGCTGCCCTTCTCAAAGCCCAGGAAAAAAAATTCATGCTAATGGTTTGGAGTCCTACACACTGAATTGGGGTCCCTGCTAGCTGACTCTCTGGTAGAATGACCGCCCCTGAGCCACGGTTTCATATTATGCTTCTGGCTTTTACTGGAGGCTTTTAGAAGAAACAGCTATTGATAAGTTGCCTTTGCATTTCTTGAAAACTCAAACTGAGGACACGGTCCACTGTGTCACGTACTGTCTGCCACACAGAGTCTCAAGGGAGAAGTAGCAGCATGTTGGTAAATAACACTTCTCTCTAAAGAAACGGTAGGCAGATCTGCACTGATGCTTAAACAGCATTCACTCTCGTGAAAGTTTATTTGTTCTGCCAAGTCAGCATGCAGCTTTCAACAATTTCTTTCTTGCCCTTGGCCATAATGTCTTGTAAAGGCACAGTTTTGGAGAAGCTTGCCTGGCTCAGTCTTCAGTTTGCCTGGACTGTTTTGCCTGTTTTTTTTAGGCATGACCTTGGAATCCAACCTTCTGCTTGAGGTTCAGTCCTAGCTGCCTCATCTTTCCTTCTGGACTTGATCCCCTGTGGGGTTCCAGACTGCCCTCCTGGCTGCGATGCTGGCTTTGCCGGGTCAGGGATGCTGTCCAGTCCATCCCCTGCCATTCCCTGATGCTTCTTTTGGGCTCTTTGTTCTCCCTGTTATCCAGGAGAATGGGCCAATTTCTCCCTTTTGGGTCCTGATTTTCTATTTTCTAACTCTATGCTGATTCTCTGTCCAAGCTACCTCCAATCTGAACATCCAACAAATTGCCCTTAATGGAGAACCAGGCATCTGGAAAGATTTCTTCAAATGCAGAGCCAGGATCATCACCACTGAGCCCTCTCAGTTCTCTTTGTCCTTTTATAATCTTTGTCTCATCTCTCCTTGCAGTCCCACAGGAGTCTCTCAAAAATCGGCAACGATGCAGAAAGGCCAGGCCAGGTGAGATGTCAGCCTCCTAGTCCCCTCCCTGACTTCAGAGGTGACATCATCTCCATCCTACTTGTGCTCCTTTTTGCTTCACCAAAGTTCTTGATGAACATTTTGTCCCTTTTCCCTTTATTTCTAGTTGGGTTTCAACTTATGCTGTACAGATGCTAACAGAAAAAAGAAAAGAAAGAATGAAAGAAAATCCCAACAGGGTGTTACAAGGACTGAATGCTTGTGTCCCTTCCAAATTCCCGTGTTGAAATCCTAATCCACAGTATGATGGCATTAGGAGGTGGGGTCCTTTGGGAGGTAATTATGCCATGAGAATGGAGCCCCCATCACGGGATTCATGCCCTTATAAAATGGATCCCAGCTGGGCGTAGTGGCTCATGCCTGTAATCCCAGTAGTTTGGGAGGCCGATGTGGGTGGATCATATGGTCAGGTGTTCGAGACCAGCTTGGCCAACATAGTAAAACCCCATCTCTACAAAAACAATACAAAAAAAAAAAAAATTAGGCATGGCGGCAGGCGCCAGTAATCCCAGCTGCTCAGGAGGCTGAGGCAGGAGAATCTCTTGAACCTGGGAGGCAGAGGTTGCAGTGAGCCAACATAACGCCACTGCACTCCAGCCTGGTTGCCAGTGCAAGACTCTGTCAAAACAAAACAAAACAAAAAACCCAGAGGGCTCTCTCACTCTTTTTATTTATTTATTTGTTTAACCATATGAGGATACAATGAGAAGTCAGCAGCCAGCAACACAGAAGGGGGCCCTCACCAGAACCTGACCATGCTGGCATCCTGGTTTTAAACTTTCAGCCTCCAGAACTGTGAGAAATAAATTTTTGTTGTTTATAAGCCACCCAGGTTATGGTAGTTTATTATAGCATTCTAAGATGAGGCAGATATTAAAAAATTCCCAGGCATGCTAATAAGAGTAGGTCAATGGGAACTGAGCCCAATCAAGACCTCAGACAGAGACTGCTAAAAAGTTAGGAAGAGTTGGATGAATAAGACATGAGGTAGAGTCGTCTTGTAATAAGCAGATGCACAGCAAGCCACGGACCTGACCTGGAGTACCCTGGTGTCACCTGATGCTGCAGGGGTAGGAAGCCTCTTCAGTGCTTTTTGTCCATGTTCGTAAAGAGAGTTGAATGACATGTTGAATCAAACCCATGCCTGCGATGGGTAAGAAAATGTCTAGAAAAGGGTTATGGTGATCCAGAGCTCTGGGAAATCTAAAGTAGAAAGCAAATTTGAACCTGTTAAGGAAGTAATTTAAACAAGATCGTGTTCCTTGAGAAGAATGTTTACTAGGAACCTGATATTTACAAGGTGAGATTTGCTTATATGTGAGTTTCTTAGACTGTGATTCAATTTTGGCATCTAGGCTTAAAGTAATTTTATGCTATTTTCATTTTGATTCACATTTTATGTGTGTTACTAATTACCAGACTAAAAACTATGGCCCTTAGAGAAAGAAAGAGAGGTGTTGATAGATGTCTTCCTGGAACAAGATAATTAATTCAATGATCAGAGATAGTGACGCAGGCTGAGCATCTCACATCCAAAAAGCCAAAATCCAAAATGCTCTAATATTAAAAACTTTTTGAGTACCAACATAATGCTCAAAGGAAATGCCCACTGGAAAATTTTGGATTTTGTACACAGGATGCTCAACTGGTTAAGTATATGTAATGCATATATTCCAAAATTTGAAAACATCCCCCCAAATCCAAAATCTGAAATATTTCTGGTCCCAAGCATTCAGGATAAGGATATTCAACCTATACTGTGCTTTCAAAATGAGAAGAGATGGCCATTCCTTTTTCCTTCCCTTGGAGACTTCAGCAATTCCATAATTGTGGGAATTATGGAAGGAAATCAGGAACAAAAACACGAAGAAAGAGAAGGGATGTTTACTTGCCAAGATTTGCAGGGGAACAGAAGCATACCCTAGGGTCGGGGGCAGTGGGAGACGTCCACCTTTTATCATCACCCTAGTCCAGCAATTCTAAATGATGTCGATGATAACACATCCCTCCCTGCTAAGAAATTATTCCTGTCTCCCAGCCCCCATCCCTTCTCTACATTAGGTGACAACTACAAGGGAGTCCAGCCTTTGGAAGAACTTGCTTGCTGTATAAAATAATACAATAGGTGTTAAAAGAAAATTCTCCAAGTTTACTAAGGCTACAATCTATCTATTTACAGAGGCAAGCATCATTTTTCCCCCACAGGATTATTATGTCTGTGAGGGCTATGGGTCATCACATATATGTAGCCATTAGGACAGTAAAACTTAAGGAAGCCTCAGTAACTCACAGGCAAGTGTTTAGAATTTTATCTGTATCACGACCAATGTCAAAGGAAAGATCCTTTGTTTATCTCAGGATGAAATTCTGCTTTCTGGGGAGAAATGCAATACCAGACACTGGTCTTTACTTTTTCCTTAATTGATTTTAAAGTGGGAGGTCCGATCAAAGATAATATGGTAAGTTGGTCAGTTTCCTTTCTACTTAGGACCATAACTTAAAACAGAGCAATGAGTTCCTATTTGTTCTTCAGAAGATCTGGATTAAGTTTCCTGAATGACCATGGATGATCTGTGGAGATTTGGAACATACTGTATTTTGTTTTGTTTTCTTCTTCTTAATGTATTTTCTTTATTTGTAAAGTCAAAGAAACTGCTTTCTACTTCAGACCATAACTTAAAATAGACTAGTGAATTCCTATTTGTTCTTCAGAAGATCTGGATTAAGTTTCTTGAATGATCATGGATGATCTGTGGAGATTTGGAGCATAATGTATTTTGTTTTGTTTTCTTCTACTTAATGTATTTTCTTTATTTTTAAAGTCAAAGAAACTGCTAATGACTCATAAAACACTTGGTAGCTCTTGGGTGAACAGCAACACTAGCAGATATTTTAAAGGAAAGGCTGCATTCTGGTCAGCACCATAAAGCCATTGGCTGATTTTACAGATGTATTCATGTTGGCGGGAACCAGGAACCAGGCTTCCTCCAATTGAGCTGTCTGGGACGCTGAGGGCAGCTGGAGGTATATTTAAACTGTCGGTGTAAAAATGGCTTTGTCAGCCAAGTTCTATTTTCTTTCCTCTGTTAGGGATGTGTGGTGCAGACAAACAGAAAGAACATCACCTGCTCAAGTTGGCATTTCCTGAAGGGAGGAAAAGTTGCTGCCTCTGTTTAGTTCATAACCAGTTGGAAAATGAGTCAGCAAGAGACAAAAAAGAGTCTTTGGAAATGAGCAATCATCTTTCAGTGCTGGACCGAGGCTGTAAGGGCAGAAAACGAATAGGTCTCGTGTCTACCCGCAAGTGACAGGAACCCTCAAATGCAATTTGCTCTGTCACAAGGATGTGAAATTGTGAATTTTAGTATCATGAAAAATGAGAATATTTTTGACGCAATAGTCAGCTCACATAAAGTACCAAAATGAGAGAAGAGATTTTCATGGGACTATTAGGACTGCAGACTTAATAAGCGACTCTGTAGGGTTTTAATTTCTGATAGAAGATTACTTTTCTTCTTGGTAATGACATGCATTTCTACCATACCTTCCTCGAAGGAACTCAAAGTACTTCACAGGCATGAATGGAGCTGGGGGATGGGCTGGACCTCAGAAGTGAAGGAGTTGCTTCCTACACACTGATGATGGCAGTGGGGGGATGGCTGCTAACAGTTATGGAGCCCTTAAACTTTACACGTTTTGTTTCAGTTAATCCTTACATGGGTCAGTTATTTCTATCCTACATACAAGGAAACAAAGGCTGGGTGGTTATTTAATTCACTTGAGGTTACCCAGATCCTCTATCTCTGAGCTGGAACACAGTTGTAAATTCTGTGCTCTTTCCAGATCCACACATAGTACCCAAATGAGGTAGGTTTCTGGGAAGATGAGCTTCCCAGGCACGGGAGGTGACACGCGGAGATGGGTCTGGGATGGGATTATCCCTCCACCTGCTTTTGGAAATGCTAAAATTTCAAGTTAAAAATGTTACTGAAAATCAGATAGAAATGCTAGCTCTTTCGGGTGTGGACATGGTGGCACCGAGGCATCAAATGCAGGTGCTGTATCAGCTGTTCATGGAGGCAGTTTCCACAGTGCTCTCACGGTGCCCACATGCCTAACTTCCTGAGGAGAAGGCGAAGGAGGCCCTGCACCAAAACTGGATCTTCGCATTTCTTTTAAACAAATGGCAGGAGATTACAAAACAGGAAATTCCTTGAACTGCTGATGGGAATCACTAAGCAAGGAGAAATGGCTACGAGCTTTCTGCCACATTGATGTAGACTGTTCAGTTCAGCTTAACTCAACTTTTTGCTTTTTCACAGCATTTATTATTGCTGCGAGGACAAGAAAGGGCTGATGAGGCCCTGCTTCCAAGCATGTCAGTTCACCAGTGGAATTCTGGCCAGTCAAGAATAAAGCTCTTCTCTCTGTATCCTTCATGGAGATAAGGACTCTTCTGTTTTGTTGACAATTATGTTCCTGGCACCTTCATAGCTCCTGGCACATAGCAGGAACTTATAAATCTGATGACTGACCCAGCTCTTAGTCTGAAAGCATTATAGAACTCTGTTTATTAAAATTTATTCTTATTTTTATAGAGATGAGGTCTCAGTCAGCCATGCTGGAGTTCAGTGATGTGATCACAGCTCACTGCAGCCTCAACCTCCCAGGCTCAAGTGATCCCCCGCTCACCTCAGCCTCTAGAGTAGCTGGGACTACAAGCATGCACCACCATGCCTGGCTAATTAAAAGAAAAAATCGTAGAGATGGGTTTTGTTTTTTTTTTCTTTTTGATGGAGTTTCACTCTTGTTGCCCAGGCTGGAGCACAATGTGCAATCTCAGCTCACTGCAACCTCCGCCTCCCAGGTTCAAGCTATTCTCCTGCCTCAGCCTCTCGAGTAGCTGTGATTACAGGAATGTGCCACCACACCTGGCTAATTTTTGTATTTTTAGTAGAGACAGGGTTTCACCATGTTGGCCAGGTTGGTCTCCAACTCCTGACTTTGTGATCTGCCTGCCTCAGCCTCCCCAAGTGCTGGGATTACAGGCGTGAGCCACGACGCCTGGCCATAGAGAGATGAGGTCTTGCAACGTTGCCCAGGCTGGTCTTGAACTCTTGGATTTGAGTGATCCTCCCACTTCAGCCTCACAAACCATTTATTAAACTTTAATGAGCATAGAAATGACCTGTGGATTGTGTTTGAATGCAGATTCTGATTAGGTAGGTCTGGAGGGGGGCCTGAAATTCTGTGTTTATAACCAGCTCCCGGGCAGTGTTGATTTTGCTTATCCAGAAGCATACATTGAGTAAGGAAATGGTACCTTTTCTGTGTACCCGGCATAACATTTAGGAGGATGGCACATTATTTCATAGAATCATCACAAAGATTTGTTAGGAAGATACGGTATCCCCATTTCCAGGGCTGGAAAGGGAATTTGGAAACATTCAGAGAATTGCCTGTAGTCCTAGAGATAATAAATGACAGAGCTAGAGATCACTCTGGAAAATAAAAAAAAAAAAAGCCCCATGTGAGTGTTAGACATTATTATATTTTTAATAACTTTATCTATATTCAAGGTTGATGATGATCAAAGATCACTTGATGGTGCATTTGTTTACACCAGGAATTCATTAATGAGTCCTTAACTCTGCATTATAATGAGAGGTTATTTATCAAAATGTCTCTCCCCATGAGGGAAATGTGTATCACCTAGGCAGGAAATCTAGTTAAGGGAGATCAGTCTTGTTGAAAGGATGTTTGGAATTGAACTACTAGAGTTTGCAAGGCAAAACCTGTCAGCGAATGTAATATCTGATAATTCATGATGGCCATCTGCTCCAACCCAGATGCTGAGGATGAGGGCCTTGGGGGTGGCGGACAGAGATGATAAACTCTGGGTGAGGAATCTTCCATCTTTCGCCTATACCGTGAAACTTTATAGCATTATCTCGTCTGGCAGTCAACAGGGGGCTTTGCTCTGGTATAAAAATTGCTTGGCAATGAAAATCAATCAGGAAGGATTACATTTAATCAGCAATAATTTTTCAGACTCAAGATGTAAAGGGTAAATCAGTAGCTATAGTCATCACGCCTGTTTTTGTGTGGCCACTTAGCAGTGACGCCAGTGTTTGGACAGAATGCTAAAAACGAAACTTAATAATGTCCTTTCCAGAAAGCTGGGACATGGGTTGATCAATTTGCCACAGGCAAGTTATTTGGTCCCTCCCTTAGAGGTTCTGATTAGGTTGGTCATGTGTGGGGCCTGAGAATCTGCACTGCTCCTGAGTCCCTGGGTAATTCAGGGCCCACTGTGAGAGGTGCCAGCCTATCTGTCGTTTCTGTCACATCCATCTGTGGCCCACAGGTAACCAGGGCATTTAACCTGGCAAGCACAGGTTAGTGAGTGAATTAACCTGTAGGTTGCCAGCCCAAAGCTCTTTCTAACCAGTCACTGGCTCCATTGCATCAGGGACTGCCAAATGATGGTGAAGTGCAGAGGTAACGCTGAGCCCAACCTTCTCAGAAAGAGTCCCACATTTGATCTTTTTTCAATGCCGAGAGCTATTAATGTATCAGAATAGGTAGGAGTAACCCTGCCCAATCTGCTGCCTACTGGCTTATAAAACCAGTATAAAACCAGTTGCCCAGGCCCTAAACTAGCTGCTGCTTTCAACTTCTGTCAATATCCAAACAAAGCCACTTACTTTCATGGAAGGCAAATTCCATGTAGAAAAGATTGAAGTTTGTAAATTTCTCTTTGGCCGCAATTTTTTTCAGTGTGTTGGAGAGTTGCTCTGCTCTCTAAAGACAGAGGAAACAGGGAGAATTCCATGAAATCTAGACTTTGACTTTAGTGAGATAAATCAGGCAGAACAAAGAAATCGATCTTCCACATCCTACCCCACTTTCATTTCTCCAAGCCATCAGCAGACCGAAGCTCTGCACATTCAACTCTATTCACGTACAAATGGCCAATGAACATATGACAAATGTTAACGTTCATTAGGCATCAAATCAGTGTAAATTAGTGATACTAGTTTTTCCACCCTTGGGATTGGCAAAGGTAAGATAACCATAATATTGAATGTTGTCATGGGTAGGTGAATGAGAATGTCATTAGCTTAACCTTTCTAAAGAGCAATTTGGCGGTATGGATCAAATCCTTAAACATGGACATACTCTTTGGCCCAGTAATTTTTCTAGGAATTTGTCTTGAGGAAATAGAGATGTACACAGAGACATACATCTTTAGATATACGACTGTTCATCACAGTGCTATTTATCATAGTATAAATTTGGAAACCATCTAAATGTCCAACACCAAAGGATGAAATAAATCATAATGTATTCACATTTATTAACTTTTGAATGGTTACATCATGATGTGGAGAAATAAACTATGAACACTAGAAAGCCTAAAAGAGTATGTGCATTCTCATATTATATAGGCAGAAACCAAATATATTGATCTCTGGAAGTGGTAATGGAAAGACATACACATATACTGAATTTGGGTGGTGGAATGTGGATTTTTGTTATTGTTCTTTATGCTTTTTTGTGTTCTCCAAGTTCTAAAAAATTAAAATATGCTTTTTATGTAAAAAATATTCAATGAATCTTTTTTTTTTTTTTTTTTTTTGAGATAGGATTTCCCTCTGTTGCCCAGGCTGGAGTGCAGTGGCGTGATCTTAACTCACTGCAACCTCTGCCTCCAGGTTGAAGTGCTTCTCATGCCTCAGCCTCCCGAGCAGCTGGGACTACAGGTGCCTGCCATGACACCTAGCTAATTTTTGTATTTTTAGTAGAGACAGGGTTATATCATGTTGGTCAGGCTGGTCTTGAACTCCTGATCTCAAGTGATCTGCCCACCTCCGCCTCCCAAAGTGCTGGGATTACAGGTGTGAGCCACCACGCCCAGCCTCAATAAGTCTTTTACAAAGAGATTGGTCACCATGTGTGAAAGAAGCGCAAACCATGTTCTTGGAGCAATGGATTCCCTGAGAGAAGGGAGGTTCTTATTCACCTCAGGAGAACTTTCGTCATGCATAGGGGCCAATCGCGACCAGTTCTCTCCACCTCTACAACTATGCTTACGACCAGTTTTAAAACTTGTGTGTGTGTGTGTGTGTGTGTGTGTGTGTGTGTGTGCGTGCAGTAGAATGTGTGTATACATGTGCACACATGAGAGAGACAGTGGCTGAGAAACACAGTCAGAGGACAGACCCAGAGCGAGGCAGAGGGAGACAGGGTGCACCAGGTTCTCTCCGCTCCCCAAGCACTCGGGAGGTTTTGGAGGCCATCTCCCTGCTAGGATCCCATCCCCACTGAAAACTCTGCAGCAAACACAGGGAAAGAATGATCAAAGATGGTATCAAAAGGTCTGTGACAGTCGTACCTCTGAAGTGAGAGTCCGCAACGTCTTGTTGGAAGACATCCAGCCGTGGCAGGGGCTGACCTGAGAGCAGGAAAACACTTTGATTACAGAGGAACAGGATGGGCAAGCGGGCTTGAAGCAAGTCAGTGAGTGCTCACCTGGAGGCAGTTCAGGAAAGAGTACAGCTGCGCATAGGTCACGTCTTTATTTAGCTGGCCTGGAAAACGGAGAGGTATGGTAGGTTGAATGCACTCGGCAATAGCGGCATTTAGAGACACTTGGGGGCTTCCCTGCCTCTCTTGTGGAAGGTCGCTATTTCCAGGGAGTTACCCTGATTTTTCATGGCGCATTGCCCTCCAAGAATGCCTGTGCTTTCCTCCTTTCTGAGCCCCTAGAAATTCAGACCCAGAGTTGGGGTCTGAACTCCTGAGGAGTTCAATTCCATATAGAGCTCTGAGCATTGGGCTAGGATGGGGCTGGGGCAGCTGGCCTCATATGGACTCAGGAAAGAGAAATGCAAGTATCCTACAGCTCAATATGAACCAGGATCCCTTGAACAAAGCCCTTTAAGAATAGCACTTTCTCCTGGCCCTGGTATGAAATGCTCCCTGCATGGGGCACGGGGAACATTCGAGGTGGCGGTTGACCTAATCCCCTTTTCTAGGTTTATGAAATGCTCAGGCCTGACCAAATTATCCCATGCTGGGGGCCTGGCAGGACATTCTGAGTATCTGAAACTTTGATCATGTAGTTCCCTGCAGTTTGGTGAACTGAAAGCCTTCAAAAATGCTTGGGCGGCCACGGGACGGGGAAGGTGGTATCTCATGTCTCCCTTCGTGGCACTGGAGTAAGGGTGTCCAGTGGATACCTTATTTGGCCCTAATTAGTAGATAGCCCTACCTTTATTTTTTAGTGCAGCTTACAGAGGTACATAATAAAAGGTTCATCTGGTTCATGAACCAGACGAGGGTTCATCCAGTTTTTCTAAACATCAGCTCTAGTTCCAGAATCTGTGGTGATTTCTCCTCTCTTCCCAACACTGCCCCACCCCGCCTGCAGTATATCCACCCCTCTGTAGCAATTCAACTTTCATGCTGTGGCTCACACACAAAAGCCAGGTCTCCGCAATCTCAGGGCTGAATGACTGACACTGTATCCATTAACAGCCCTCACACTCTTGAAAACATAAAGGAAGATAATAGTATCTATCTCAGAACCAAGAGAAAGATTGAAGGTGATAGAACACAGTCTTATTTTTCACTTATACCTCTGATTAGTTAGACTGGCAGTTAGATTCAATTTTCTTGTCATAGAGAAAAAATTTATTATCTCTCTGTGAGGGTGAGTGAGTCCCAGGACGGGAAACCCTCAGGCTCATTACGGCCGCTAAAGTCACAGTGACCCGCCAGGTCTGTCTTCTGCACAGGCTTCTGTATCTTTGCATTTTAGATGAATCCCAAGTCCTTGGCTTTTGTCCTTGATTTCATTTTATGGGCCCGACACTGAGGTCCCCTTTTCCCCCAAATTCCTGCTTCTACCCACCGTGGTTTTGTTCCTTCTATGTGTGTGTGTGTGTGTGTGTGTGTGTGTGTGCGCGTGTGTGTTATTTTCCCCTTTCCTGAAAGTGTCCCAGTTGCAGTGATTGACACCTTCCTTCTCCACTCCCCACCCTGGGCCCTCCACGTGCTCTCCTGGCTTGGCTCTTTCCCCTGGAAACTGCCACTGAGCCCCAGCTTTCCCTCTCCCTACCTTCTGTGAGGGCCCAGTGTCTCTGAATGCTTTTGCCTTGGTGCCCAGCACCATCTTGTCTCTATGTTGGAAATGGGGCCTCATAGTGAAACTTACTTAGATAGCCTGGCTGGGGTCCTGCCACCCTTCTGGGCCTTGGTGTGCCCCCCGGCCGAGGGGTGGCATCTCTCTGCAGCCCAACTGGAGGTGGCACCTCATGCCTGAGCGTTCACTCTCCCCTCCCCACCTTCAGGCCTGGATTGCTTTGATATCCAGAGGGGCTGGAGTTTGTCCTTCTCCTGTGACACTGGGAACTTCATTGCCGGATTCTCCTTGGGAATGAAGGCCCGCCTCAGCCTTGTTCCACCCTGCCTGAGGCCTTCTCCTGCTGTCTCACAGCTGACGGCCAGCACAGGCCCTAGGGGGTACCCTCCTTCCACACCTCCTCCAGTCCCTCTCCCTTCCCCTCCGTCTCCTGGCTCCACCTCCAACTGGACCTTGTTGAGAAAGGGAACATCCTCACTGTGGGGAGCTAGGTCTGCTGAACAGGATGAGGGCACATTAGGTACACTTAGAAGGACCTGGGAAAGTTGTAATGAGTCAGTGTTCCTCCTCTCTGGTGTCTCTGCCTGTTAGAGGGTAGGGACTCTGAAGCTGGACACGTGGAAGACTGGCTAGGGGTGCTTGCGATGGGCTTATGGCTTCAAGGAAGGGAAGAGGGAAATGGCTCTTAGGCTTTCTGCTTTATTGGTACCATCAGTTGGTCCCCCAGTCTTTTTAGGCGTTATCTTTTATCTTTGTTACTTTAATGTAATTTTTGCCTATTGATCCTGCCTCTATGGGGATCCTGCAGAGAGACTGTGTCTGTGACTCCCTGGTCAGAAAGTCCCTCTGGATAGAAAAGCTGATCAAGAAAGCCCAGGGGCAGGCCAGGAGGACTGTCCCACAGTGGCCAGGAATCTCCAGGGGCCGAGGAGCTCCGTCTGTGTTTATCTGTGTATCTTCGTGTGGGTCTGCATGTCTGTGTCTCTGTGTGTCTTTGTATGCGTCTGTATGTTTCTGTGTCTGTGTGTCTGTGTCTGTTTGTGTGTCTGTGTCTGTGTGTGTGTGTCTGTGTCTCTCTGTGTGTTTGTGTGTGTGTCTGTCTCTATGTGTGTGTGTGTGTATGTGTTGGTATGTGTGTGTCTGTGTGTGTGTCTCTGTGTCTCTGTGTGTTTGTGTGTATGTGTCTGTGTGTCTGTGTGGGTGTGTATCTGTGTGTGTGTGTCTGTGTCTCTGTGTGTATGTGTCTGTGTGGGTGTGTGTCTGTGTCTGTGTGTGTGTGTGTTTTGTGTGTCTGTGTGCCTGTGTGTGTGTTGTGGAGAGCCAGTGGGCTGGCCCAGTGTTTGCCACAAACTCCTCTGAAGATCAAAGGCATGTTCTTCCCCAGCTGGCTAAGTGATGGTTTGTGTCTTCGTAATCTGTAATTTCTTTAGAGCAGGGTCTCTCGTATCTATTTAATTCTGGAAACGTAATTGAAATCTTAGGTACCATAGAAACTTAGTTCCAACAAAGATCAGTCATACTTCCAGGAAATGCAACATAAATGTATTGAAACCACATTCATTCAGACAGATGGAAACACCAAAGTATTTTAAAAAGATATTTGGTTTCAAGTTTAAGAGTAATTGGAGTAAGATGAAGTTGCTGTTTTGCAGCAGAAGCCCTTCAAGGCAGGCCCACTAGCAGACGAATTAGCAGCCTGGAGTCCGTGGCTGCCTCCCCAGAGTCTAACCCTTGGGACGGCCCTGGAATGCCTGTGACTTGCCCATCCTCATGGGCACTCGGCACGTTCACCGTCAGGGTCCACAGAGTCCGTGTGCTGTGTTCCCCAGCGGAGTTGTCTTTTCTCTCTCATGTGAGTACACAGACTGTATCTTATGTCATCTTTACTTAAAAGCACAGAATAGGAAACTCAGATATATTTCTGGAATGATCGCCTTCCTCACAGAGCATGGCTGAGAGGGCTTGTAACCGGCCAAGCTTGACTTTTCTTAAAAGACCTACGTCAGTAGAATCCCAATGTGTGAGGCTCGCTGTCTGGTAATTCCTCATAAAGACAATAAACTCTCACCAGGAATTTTAGTGACTGGTGAAGGCTGTGGGGTGCTTCGGTGGCCAGCGATAGATTGGGTAGTGAGTCACAAACCCAGCTGAGGAGGATGGAGGCTCGGAGGGGCTTGTCACCCCCTCCTCCCTGGCAGGAGTGACACAGGCACTGCTCTTGTTCTGGGCCTCTGTGACCTGCTGAGTGGGTGCTGTGGCATCTAACCCTGCCTTCGCTGGTTGCTCAGGCTGAGTTCTTGCCTGTCCTGAGGGGAAAGGAGGCAGCAGAGACTGTGTCACTGGCCAGGGGCTCCCCCAACGCTTCTGTTCCCTGGACTCTTTCCTAATCCTCAAGAAGTGGCCAAAGTCAAGTCTAGACACTATTATCACCACATTTCTAGGCTCAGATTAATGGAACCCACCCCCTTCTTCCTGCTTTTTTTTCTTTGCACATCACCGTTAGCACAACCCTTAATATGGTGGCCAGGAATCAGACTCGAGTGTCCAGCTGATAGGATGAGATCTACGATGGCCTAAAAAGAGCAACCAAGCCCAGAGGCCAGTCCAGCACCAGCCCTGCTTCACTGCTGGCACGATAGCCAAAGATGGGGTTTGGAATAAGAGCAGAAGAGAGACAGCATGAGGGCAAGAACTGAAATCACTGTGGTTAATGAAAGCATCTATCTCACAGGGTTATTCTCAGAATCATACCTTCCTGGCCGGGTGCGGTGGCTCATGCCTGTAATCCCAGCACTTTGGGAGGCCAAGGCAGGTGGATCACCTGAGGTCAGGAGTTCGAGACCAGCCTGGCCAACATGGTGAAACCCCGCCTCTACTAAAAATACAACAATTAGCCTGGTATCATGGCAGGTGCCTGTAATCCCAGCTAGTCAGGAGGCTGAAGCAGGAGAATTGCTTGAACCTGGGAGGCAGAGGTTTCAGTGAACAATGATTGTGTCATTGTACTCCAGCCTGGATGAGAACGAGACTTCAACTCAAAAAAAAAAAAAAAAAAAAAAACACAAAAAAAAA